TTGCTGCTCCTGTCATTTGTCAGGCACATTCCACCCCAGGGCCTTTGCACACGCTGCTCCTGCTGCCAGGAGCACTCCCTCCCAGGCACCTCCATGGCTAGTCCCCTAGCGTCATTCGGAGGCGGCCTCTCCTGAGCACCATCTAAACCAACAGTGTCCCTCTTTCCCCCCTTGCTTAAAGAGCTCCACCACCCCCATGTATTGTAGCAGAACGGCTTGTTTGTTCTGGCCTGTGTCACCCGCTGGAACTTTGTCTCTGAGCCACTGCCCTGTCCCCAGGGCCTAAAGCAGTGGGGCTGACGAGTGGCTGCATGTGGAATGAATGGCATTGTTTTCTGTGGGGAAGGAGGGAGCTCATGGGACTGGGGTGGAGGGGAGGTGGTGGGCAGGGAACAAGGGGAGTCGCTACCACATGACCAGCTGTTTTTCTTCTCTTGTAAAAACACCTGAGCTAGTTGACCCCAGGTCAGCATTTGCAGCTTCTGCGTCTACATCCATGTTTTGGGACATTTTTGTGATTCCGTAAAACCCAGCCCCATTCCCTGCTGACACCCTCCCATCCAGCATGGAGCAGCCCCGTCTCAGGGACTCTCTGGTCTGGAAGTTCCTCTCCCCCAAGGGGCTTTGTTCCCTCCTGGGGGCACGCACCCTGTGTGTGTGGGAAGCGAGGGTACAGCTCCTGTCTCAGCCCCTCTCCTGGGAGAGGTTCAGTGTCTGGGCTCTGGCAGGGCCTTGGGAGCGGGGACTTGAGCGCCCAAGCCAGGTGGGAGGGAACGAGGGCACTGGCTTAGGAGTTGGGGCCAGGGCTCCACCGCCTGCCCCCTGTGTGACCTTGGCCAGGGCGCATCCCTCCCTGTGAAAGGAGAGGATGTTCTTTCCAGACTTGTGCTGCCGGGATTTGTGATGAACATTCCTGGGGTTATTACTGAGAGGAGCGTGACCTTTTGGAGAAATAACAACAGGTGCCACTAGAGAGCACTGTTGGCTTGGATGTGCACCTGTGTATGACTGTGTGTATGAAAGTGCAAAAGTGTAATTTGTGTGTTTTGTGGTGCATGTGTGAGGGTGAATGTGTGTAAATGTGACAGGGCATTGTATAAGGACATTTGGGGTGTGTTGACCAGGAGTGCAGCTGGGACACCTCTGTGTAGCCCATGGTGGACAGTCGAGTGAGGGTGGTGGTATCTCTATGCAGGTGATGCTCCTGAACGATTCTGAGTCTTAGGGTGCAGGTTGCAGGGCCGGAGCCTAGGCTAAAGACGGGCCCCCTCAAGGCCAAGGGCATGTAGACGCTGTCGGGAGAGTACTGGTTCTTGAATCTGGAGGCTGGGCTCACCATGTGACCATGTGGCTGGGACAAATTCTTTGTCCCCTGTGGGACTCCTTTTCTCCATTATAACCTATGCCCACTCTCTATTGCTCCTTCTGGGTTCCCCAGGGACCCCCCCCCAAGCCTTCCTCTGGCTTCTGGGGCAGCTGGGTTGGGCAGCCAGGATCCCTGACTCCCAGGCTCTGAGACCAGGCTCTGCTGCTGGAGGTGCTGGGGCTGGAGGTCTCCTGTCCAACCCCCCATGTCAGGGGCTTCTGTGCCAGGAAGGTCAGATTGGGGTCTCTGTCCCCAGAACCTGAGAGACCATGTGTTACCGGGGGCAGAGGGGACAAATCCCCTCCCCGGGCCCTAACTGTGGGAACCACCACCGGGCCCCTCGTGCCCTCCCACAGCCCACAGGGCAGACCCCACAGGCCCCGGGCACAGCCTGCTGACCCTGGGCCACGTTCCTGGCCCCTCGCTCCCAGCACTCACACCCTCGCAGCCCCCAGAGCAGCCAGAGGACACGTTCACTGCGCTGAGCCCTCTCCTCCTGCGGGGGGCTCAGTGCTGCCAGGCAGACACGGCAACTGTGGAGTGGGGGGGGTCCGAGGTTTCCTTGTGGAAGGGGGTTTGGGCCTGGTTCATGTCACAGGTTGGGGGAACTCCAAGGAGCTGGGGAGAGACCTTGGAGCCCCTCTCTACCTCTGCCTCAGAGCAGAGCTGGGGTTGGGGTGGGACAGGCGGGGGAGCGGAGTTCCCAGGCTCCTCTGTGTCCACACCTGTGCCGTTCCTTCCTTAGGACCCGGGGCCCTCTCAGGCCCAGAGGAGTGTGCGGTGCACGTTCCTGTGTCTGGAAGGCCTGGGAGTTCATCTGTGCCCTACTTCCAACGCCTCAGACAGGCGTGGTCATTGATTCCTGTGGGGAGGCTTCGGGGAGGGTCTACCTGAAGTCAGCGGGGGAACACAGGGAGGGAAGTTGGGGCACTGGCTGTGTCCTGTGTGGGACAGTGTTGTCCAGCGGGACCCGCGACGGGCAGCCTGAGTGTTGTTGAAGCTGCAGGTTCACGGGGTGCTGCGCACCCGGGTGACCCACAACTGTGTGGGGTGCCACTCAGGGCAGAAGGAACACTCTCCTTCCATCTGTCTGTCGTCTACCTATCATTTGCCACCCACCTATCCATCTATCATCTATGTGAAGTTCAAGGTCACATCTGGAAGGACACATACCACATACAACCATCATGGATCTGCAAGCTGTGCTGGGAACTTCTTTATACTTTTTCTGTTTTATTATTTTTCTTAAAGGAAGTTTATCAGTCTTTAAATGGCTCAAATTGCAAATAAACCAATCAGGCAGTGACATTAGCTTAAGACACGTGATGCATCTACGTCAGTTTGCTTCACAACCTTTCAGGACCCAGGAGAGGAAAGGTCTCAAAGCAAAGTCACAATGTCAGTGGTAGGACCCCTGGTTAGAGAAGACTGCAGTGAGTGCATGTGGAGATCCCCAGCACCAGTGCCACACTGGTACTTGACTTCTGCACATGGCACAGCCTATAGAAGTATGAAATGAAAGGTGCACGTTTCATTTAGGGACATATATTTAATCTGACACACTGGATGTAATATCTAAAGAGTAGAATTTTCTAAAGAGCCTATTTTTGTTGATTTTACGTACACATTTTTACCTGGAATGCTTGAACACATCTTTGACTTATTGAAATTAGGATTGAACAAAAATATAAAGGAAAAACTCTGTGAATCAACTGTCTTAGATGCGTTCCAAAGAAGAAAAGAAAAGCCTGACAGTGGTATTGTCGATTTCCCGCTGGAATTATGTTCCCAAATAGCATGCTAGGATTCCTCCAGGGGGCGCACCACACAACGTTGATGGTGATGCAGGCCTAAATGTTCAGTCACAAGCATCTAACACGTTTTCTGCACTGTATCCAGGTTTGATTGCTTGATGCTAACTTCAGGGAAATGTAACTACAGCGTTCTTGATTAGGAACACAGACCACAAATACTCCTAGTAAATCCAATAGAGCCAAACTGTGACCTCACGAATATGAATTTAGCAGATGGCAAGCATAAATATCTTCCCAAAATGCATCGGCACTGTGTTTTTCCTGCACCTGCTCCAAAGAGATAAAAAACAACACATGCTTACCACTTGCAGAAGGGGTTTCCAGGTACCAGCATCTTACAGAAAAAGAGGGTTCCCTGAAACGTAACTGGTGCTCAATCTTCAGACTAAGCTTATAAATATATGCTGGCCCTTCACCTTAAACTACCATATAGTTAGTCAAAAGCAATCAGGAGCTCTGGAATCTTACCTTGAAGAACCAGAGTATGTCCCAGTCGGGTGGCTCAGTTGGTTGGAGCATTTTCCCCATACCCCAGAAGGTTGTGGGTTCAGTCCCTAGTCAGGGTACATACCTAGGTTTCAGGTTTGATCCCCGATCAGAGTACAGGGGCAACCAATCGATGTTTCTCTCTCACATCGATGTCTCTCTCTCTCTCTCTCTCTAGTCAGTGAACATGTTCTCAGGGGAGGATCACGAACTAAAAAAATAAAAATAAAAAAGAACCAGAATATGGTACACGTTTTATACTTGGACAACCTCCTAACAGACAGCTACTTCTCAAGAATCTTCTACACAGAAGCTGTATTCCATCCTAGACATACGTCACCAGGACCAGGACACACTGGGCAATGGGCCACAGCGCCAGTGAGGACACACCCAGAATGATGTACCCGAGTATTTTTCAGTTTCTAAATTAAGGCATATTCAAAAATTTCCATGTACAAGTTTCACTGCTTCTCTGAGTCAGTCACCAGGTAATCAATGCAGGTTCACAGATGATTTCCTCTCCATTTAACTCTGTGCAACAATCATACCAATAACTTTTCTTCCATATTTTGCATGATAATCATTTTAAAAGTGGGGAGAGTTTAACCATCAGGTTCACAGTTATCATTTTCAAGGCAGTAGAAGAACAAGACATTTCAAATGATATAAAATGTAAGCTTTATAATAAACCAGAAGAAGTAGCCTTTCCTGCCATTCCTCACCCCCAGCTCCCTTCCTTAACGGTGTAAGACTGCTCTCAAAACACAAGCTCCTATGGTACATTGGTGACCATGATAAATCTAGGCCAGGACGTAATTTCAACTCCTTAACAGTTAAGGAGTAGTTACATTTATACAGTCCTAAAATTATTTCAGCCCTTTGAAGGCAACCGCGAGACTGATGTGGTTCATGTGAAAATGAGTTTGATACCCCTGATCTAGGCCATTATGAAAGAAGGTAAACTTTGAGTTCTTGGTGAAGCCTCATTAATTTCTTTTTAAAGTGAATTTGAGTCCTGGCTGGGTGGCTCAGTTAGTTGGAGCAGTGACTCATACCCAGAAGTTTGCAGGTCGATCCCCGGTCGGTTGTCCGGGTGCTTACCAGGGACAGTGGGTGAATGTCTCTCTCTCTCTTCCTCTCTCTAAAAACAAAACAAAACAAAACAAAACAAAACACAAACAAAACCCAATAATGATAGCCTCAGGTGAGGATTAAAAAAGACAAAAAGTGAATTTGACTTTCAGTGCAGTACCAATTCATGGTTTCTGGGATACATAACCATTTTCAAAATAAAATAATTTCAGTCAATTGTGCCTTCAGAGATGATGCTTATCAATTGTATTTATTAGTAATGGTCAAGATAAGAAAGTAGTTTGGGCTTTGATTAATAAATGCAGAATCTTTCTATCATTTTCTTGACTAAACTTTTCCTCTCCTTTTTCCCTTTCTTCTCTCTGCTGTCTTCCATCTTTCTGGCTCGAATTTCCCTCATCAAATCAAAAAATATCTTGTCAACGTTAGTACGCGTTTCTGCGGATGCTTCAATGTAATTAACATTCCACTGTTCGGCTCTGGCTTTCGCTTCTTGGACAGAAACCTGCCTTTCATCTTCTAAACCTGATCTGTTACCAACCAACAGAAATGGAACGTTCTCATCTTCTTTAACTCTTAAAATCAGCTCCCTGAGGTCAGCTGTGGCTGCAAAGGATTGCATTTCTGTAACGGAGAAGACACAAAGGAAACCTTCCCGGGTCCGTATGTAGCTGTCTTTAATTGCCGCGTAGTCGTCCTGCCCTACTGGATCCACGATATCGATCTGCACTTCCTCCCCATCCAGCACCACGTTCTTCCGATAGCTCAGGCTTCTGGTGGGCTCATAGTCCTGCACCGACTCCCCGTACAGGAACCGGAGAGTCAGAGCGGCCCGGTTCCCACAGCTGCTGCCGGCCACCAAGACTTTGTGCAGGGCCACGGGTTTCTTCTGACGTTTGGACTTATTTGGGGCCATCTTGAATCACAGAGTTTTCACTAAAGGCTCCGCCGCCCGGCCCGCCGCCGCGCGGGCTCCGGAAGCCGTTGCTGAGCGGGCTCCGGCCGCAGGGTGCTCGGTCCTAGTCCCGGCGCGGGCGCGGGCGCGGGGAGCGGCGCTGGACCCTGGGCGGCGGGAGGAGGCGGAAGACTCGGGGCGTCCCGCTCGCGGGAGTTCTTTCTGTTTTACTTTGAAAAAGTCTTTGTATATCTTCTCATAATCAGGAAAAAACTCAAGCTGTCTCTATCTTGGAAAACCCAGCAAAGGTAAACAATGCGATGCACAAACGCAAGGCGTTGGAGAGACCGTCACTCCGAGCTCCAGGCGGTGCTGCAGGGCCCCGCTCCGGGACGACCTGCCCAGTGTGGCCCGCGGCACCGGCACAGAGCCGGGTGTGGTTCCTCCGCCCGCGTGAATGGGTGTCCAAGACGCAGCCTAACAGCCTGTGTGACGTTAAAAAAACAGATGAAGCTGAGAAGCGGTTGGCTTAAGGGCGCGTGCAGAGGAGGTAAAACTATTTAAAAAAGTGAAGAAATCAGGATCTTGAGGTCCTAACCACGTCCTGATTGGTTTTACTACTTTTTAAAAATAACTTTACAAATGCATTTTTATGGTTATAATGTACGATTAAAACAGAAGTACATTAAAATATTAGCAGTGGCTTTTCTGGGTGAGTATGAGGGTGAATTTTCCCGTTTGTTTTTCTGTACTTTCTACGTTATTTTAGACAGAAGACCAAGATGAATAAACTATTTAAAAGGAGCTCAGAAAACAAGTAAGGTGATTCTCCTTCACACTGAGCTGACACCTGTGTCCACAGAGCTTATTTACACCCTATTGCCTCCACCTGGGCCTAGAGTTTGGGGGCCCTGAAGGCACCCCAAACCTTTCTACCAGAACAGAGCAGAGATAGAAGAGAAATCTGTACCAGGCCTAGATCTTTCCTCCCTGGATTAGCCTTTTCAGGTCCTTTGGCTAACTCCAAACTATTGAATATACAGCACCGAGAGTGAACCCTAACACAAACCGTGAACTTCAGGAGACAGTGTGCTGTTCGCCAACCGTAACAAATGCACCACTCTTGGGGGAGACTGATAATGGGGAGGCTGTGCGTGTGTATTGGCAGGGGGCATATGGGAATTCTTGGTGTTCCTCTCAATTTTGCTACAAACCCAGGCTGCTCTAAAAACAAAAAAAAGACAAGTGTTTAAAAAAATCAACTGAGCCCTGGCCGGGTGACACAGTTGGAGCATCGTCCTCTACAGCAAAAGATTGTGAGTTCAATCCCCGGTCAGGGCATATACCTAGGTTTCAGGCTCAATCCCCGGTCGGGGCATGTACGGTGTCTGTATGTCTGTCTGTCTCTCTTTCTTCCTTCCTCACTAAAATCAATAAAAATATATCCTTGAGTGAGGACTTAAAAAATCAATTGACTATAAATCTACGTTTTTTCCCCTGGACCCTCAAGTCTATTGTGTGGATCCATAGGTCTACCCTATGCCAGTAACTACCCTGTTTTGGTTATTGTAGCTTTTAGTAGGTTTCGAAATTGAGAATGTGAGTCCTCCAAATTTGTTCTTTTTCAAGATTTTTTGGGTTATCCGGGGCTTCTTGCATTTCCATATAAAATTTAGGATCAACATGGAGACTGGGTGGAAACAGGCTGCTTTTGGGTCCAGCCAGTTCATGACCTTACATAGAGGAGAAAGAACAGCCAAGGGGCCAGCTCCCCTGGCTCCAACAGCAACAGCACAACAAAGGGGCAGGTGACAGGACACTGCATGGCCGAGGAGCCTGGTCCCTGCTGCACCTGCGTCCTAGGGGCTGAGGCACAGGGCCTTGCTCTTCATCCCAACCAGTGGCGCCGAGAAGCTGCCACCTGACAGCCTCCCAGGGGTGCCGCAGACGGGAGCGAGGGGGAGAGATGCCTTCAACATCTCAGACTTCTGATTCCCAGACCTGTGAGAGACTAAAGAGATGTATGTTGCTTTGAGCTGCTTAGTTTTCGCCCAATGTGTTGACATTAGGTGCAGGAAGGTGATGAAGGAGCCAAGGGAGAGACTCACCCTGGACCTCAGCATGGTCCCGCCACAGCCCCCACCCACAGTGACCTGTGCCTGACTGGCTGCCACTGCCCTGACCCCCTTCGATCCCCCCAGAGTATGGTAGAGAAGAAGATGCCTGAGCCCAGGAACCCAGCATGAGGGCTGGGGTGACACCCTTCATTCTCAGAGAGACACTGGGAACCTCACAGCCTCACAGAGTCACCATAGGGGACCTGGTTTCCCCCCCTGACATCCACGATCAGGTGGATGTGGTTTCCAATAATTAATGCCCCGAGGAAGATGGTAGGTGCCTTTCTGGGCCACAGACCTGAGCGTATCCCGCCTCTCTTTGCTCGGATGTGGCAGAGCTGGGCCATGAGTTGGGGAGCAGCTCAAGGGTCTCAGGATACCCAAAGGGGTTCCAGCAGGGGCGGGTTGTCCTCAGATGTGTGATGGGTGCAGGATGGTGTGATTTTGTGGGTCCACCTTCGGTCCAGGGAGGAAGGTTACCTGACTAGACCTCCCTGAAGCAAATCAGAGGACTTTTACTATGTAACACCACCTGCCCCAGTGGTGGTGACCTGGTGGTGAAGAAGACAGTGACATGGAGGGTTGGTTCCCTGTGCAGTGGCAACTGTAGCCAGCTCATGGTCATTGCCATGTCCTGAGGCTGCAGGGCACGTCACCTGTGTGTGTATGTCAGAACCTGATTCCTGTCAATGCTGACAACTTAGGGAAAACTCATGCCCACTTTTAATTGTGATACAAGATGTCTGAGACACCAATTTCCCTCCAGCAAAGGCTTTGTTTAATCTCAGAGACATTATGAGGCACCTATTTCCCTCCTTGCATTGGTTCCTGGGGAGCTCAAAGCTTGTCTGTGTTAGAGTTGACCTTAGCCTCCCAGCAGACATTTTGTGTGACAGGTCCCTTCCTGTCTTCTTCCTAGTCCTCTTACATCTCTGAACCTGACTTTGGGCGAGGACTTGAGGTAGACCCCAGATTGAAGAGCCTTTAAAACTGATGCTGCTGCAGTGTCCTGGACCCCGTGGGTGGTCCAGCCTGAGGGAGTGACAGGGTGTTCCAGGGGGTGAGGGCCTGGAGCAGAGGGGTTTCTGACCAGGGCAGGGAGAGAGGGATTATCTGGAGGTCACTGGCCACGGCCAGCTCTGACCAAGAAGGAGGGACATTATGGGCTGGAGGAGGAGCTGGTGGAAGGAGAGGGACCGAATGGTGACTAGATTGCTTATGCCCTGGCCACTTCCCTGGGAGGTGCCCCAGGAAACTTTCCCGCCGGGCACCAAGGATTCTCCCACCTTACCCTGTGACCCAGGAGAGATCACAAATGAAATATGAGATGAGAAAAAAATGAGCAGAGACCGTGATTTCTGATTGACAATGAGAACATTTTTGAGAGGTGGTTGGGTGCAGGGAGCAGGCTAGAGATGACTAAGGTGGGAGGGAAGACCCTCCCAGGGGTCCTCAGGCTCCAACCCCTGAGGGTGGGCGATTCAGGGTCCTAGGAACACTCTGAGGGGACCACTGTCTTCTCCACAGTGCTGCCTTCGTGGGTCACCTGGCAGCTGTACTGGCTGGCAGATTTCCACTTGCTGGCCGACACGCTCAGGTAGCTGCTGGCCGCATACTTGTTGTTGCTCTGTTTAGAGGGCTTGGTGGTTTCCACGCCCTGGGAGACGGGGCTGCCATTTTCCTTCCAGGTCACTGTTATGGCTCTAGGGTAGAAGTTGCTGATGAGACACACCAGCGTGGCCTTGTTGGTTCTGAGCTCCTCAGAGGAGGGCGGGAACAGAGTGATGGAGGGCGTGGACTTGGGCTGACCTGTGGGCATGAGACGCAGAGGGAGAATCTGAGTGGTGGGTAGCCCCCACCAATCTGTAGCTTGTGGCTGGTCCAGGGTGCCCACGTTTGTTCACCCATGGAACCCTCCTTCCTTCTTTGCCTCCTCCTTTCCACTCACCCGCTGGACAGCAGACAGCCCCTGCACTCCCAGAAGCCCTTCCACGTCACCTCTCCCAGGTGACCTGGTCAAGCCCCTCCACCTGTAGCCTCAGTTTCCCCAAGTGGAACCAGGGCAAGTTGTTCCTTCCTTCTCCTGCTCTGCAAAGTGTGAGCACAGAGTCTGGCCCCCACCCCCCGAGCCTTCAGCCCAGTGCCAGCCCCCACCTCTCTTCGTTCTCCTGGAGCCCGGGGCCTCCCGTGTAATCCGGGCCTGACAGCATGTGCAGAGGCTCTGAGCCCACGCCCAGCACACAGTGGGGTCTGGAGTCCCTGTTGCCCTTGGGCACCCACTTTGCTGCAGCCCAGCCTCCGTTCCCCAAGGGAAGGCTGGGGCCATGGCCTGGGGGCTCCTTGTGGCTCTGCCTGCCTCCCTGTCCCTCACACCCTGATCCCAGGACCCTTCCCCTCAGCTGCATTTTTGATTCTGCTCCTCCAGACAATGGACACAGTGGTCCCACGGCCACTCCAGCACCTCTGATGACGCCTGACTTCATGGGGCAGCTGTGTAGCTCTGAGCCACCCGTCTTTCACTCCCCTTTGTCATCTGAGTCTAATGCACCCTTTGAAGCAGGTGAGTGGCTGACGCTTGGACAGGGATTGTGGAGCTCCAGGGACAGATGAGTCTCTGTCCTGCAGGACTTGCTCCTTTCTGACCACCGACCTGGGAGGACTGGGATTCTGGCCACCTCACCCTGTCACACTTGTGTCTTTGCATCCTCATGCCCTCATGGCCCAGCAGAGGCCCTGAGAGCTTCAGCTAAGAGTGAGCAGGACCCCACTCTCCATGGGCCTCCTCTCAGGCTGACCCTGTGTCTCTGGGGGTTAGGGTCACAGATCCAGCCTGTCCTCAGCCTCCTGTATGGCTCTCCCTGCTTGGATGTGCACTGAGCCCTCAGCCCAGACCCCAGGGGCTCTGGACTGTCCAAGGCCTGGGACAGTCAGAACCATCCTCTGGTCCCCGGTGGGCCTCTGTCCTGGAAGAGAGAAAGGAGCCCCATTCCTAGGCCAACCCCCAAGCCCAGGCCCCCAGGACCCAGCTGCACCAAACTGTCAAGCTCTGGAGATGGCTGCTCCTGCTATTGGGTCCTTCCTGCTGGTTACCCCGAGACCAACCTGCCTCCCCAGGCCCCATGGAGAAAGTGGGGGTCAGTCTTTAAGGCTGGAGGGCAGAGGGGAGCAGCCCACAGAGAGAAGAATGACTTTCCCGAGATAGCAGGGGGGTGGGATACAACGGAAAAGGTGGTGAGGCCACTTACCTAGGATGATCAGCTCGGTCCCATTGCTGAAGATGAACCATGGGGACCGAGAATCGGGCCAAAACCCATGCCAGCACCTGGGGCCTGCCTCCTGGGGGCCAGTCCTGGGCGGGAACCTGTTGGATGTGACAGGCAGAGGGGCTGTAGCAGGCAGGACTGTCTCCTGGGCTGGAGAGGGTGGGCAGCCAGGTGCCGAAAGGCTGGGGCGTACCTAGGTGAACTCATACCCTGAAGCGTCACTGTGTCTGACCCCCTTTCCAAGGCAAGCACCACCCATACTTTGGAGTCACCTGGTGTGTGACCCCAGAGGCTGTCCTGGTCACCATCAGATCCTCAGTGCTGATGGAGACCCTGAATACTGTGTCCCCTCACGAGGCCGTGTGCTGTGGCAGAACGAGTCCCGAACTGGCTCGGATCTGCCTGACCTCTCCTGGCCTCATTCTGGAGCCTCTGAGGGTTTCTTCCCCGCAGTTTCCCACCGTGCAGCCAGGCGGGCTGCCTCCCTGGGTCCGTGGACACCAGGACATTCCTGTCTCACGGGGGAGGTCCCCTCCCCCTTTGTCTCCCCACATCAAGACACACTTTAGTTCTCTCTGTGAAGCCTTCTCTGATCTCTTAGACCACTGTCTTTCTGTCCATCCATCCACTCATCTCTTGCTCCAGTCACCCGTCCATCCCTCCGTCCATCCATTTAACCACGGCTCCCAAGCAAGTGTCTGGCAGTTTCACGTGCTGAGATGTGGCAGGGCCCCCGGCCCTCATCTGCATCTCTCGCCAAAACCTCTCAGTTAAGGCCGACCAGACCCTGTTTGCTGGCAAGTGCGAGCCTCCCTCCCCAGCCCCTGTTGTCCCTTATGTTGTTGCCAGGTACAGCACAGAGTGGCTTTTCTTTCCAATGACTTTCTTCCCCTCGGCACCTGAGACCTCCCATGCTCTTCCTCCCCCGACTTGCCCTTCTCTACGGCCCACACGAGGCGGCTGGGCCCTTCTTCAATATCTTCTCACACTGAGGATCCCCACTGCTGTCCATGTGGTGAAGCTCAAGTCTGTCCCAGCCCCAGCCAAGCCTTCTCCTCGGCTCAGCCTAAGTTGCCCAGTGACCATCTGCAGCTGGATGGCCCAACCGGAACCCCAAACCCACTGCATCCAAATGAGACTGGCCACCTTTCTCCCAACCCAGTTCTTTTTCTGTCTTCATCTTGTCACACGCAATCCTGAGAGCTTTCATCCCCGCTCACCCCCAGGCATGAGGACAGTCACAGAGATCGATGGAACGGAATTCAGTGAAAAGAAGCCCTCACATCTATTATCAATTGATTTTCTGACAAAGGGGCTAAGACGGTTCAGAGGGGGAGATAATAGTTTCTTCAACAAATGGTGCTGGGACACCTGGATGTCCACAGACAAAAGTTGGACCTCGACCTCACACTATCTACAAAATTAGCTCAAAATCGATCAAAGACCTAAGTGTAAGAGCTAAAACTATAAAACTCTTAGAAGACAACTCTTTGAAGATAAGTGTAGATCTTTATGACCTTAGATGAGGCAACTGATTCTTAGATGTGACACCGAAAGTGCAAGCAGTAAAAGAAAAATTAGGTACCTTGGGCTTCATCAAAATTCAAAACTTCTGTGCATCAAAGGGCACTATCAAGAAAGTGAAAAGCCAACTCACAGAATGGAAGAGATTATTTGCAAATCATGTATCTGATAAGGGTCTAGTCTCCAGAATGTATAGAGAAAGCTTATAACACAAAAACAAAATAGATAATAACCCAGTTAAAAAATGGACAAATGACTTGAATGACATTCCTCCAAAGAAGATATAAAATGTCCAAAAAGCACATGAAAATATGGTCAACACCATTAGTAGTTAATGGGAAATGCAAACCAAAATTGCGATGAGGTGCCACTTCACAGCCTGTAGGATGACTACAATTTAAGAAAAAAAGCAAAATAAAAAGTGTTAGAAATGAGATGGAGAATTGTAACCTTTGTGCATTACTGGTGGGATTGTAAAATGGTGCAGCCACTGTGCAAAAACAGTTTGATCATCCTCAAAATATAACTTAGAGTTACCATATGGCCTAGAAAATCCACAGTTAGGCATACGGAAAGTGACTGAAAACAGGTATTCAAACAAAAACTTGTACGTGAATGTTGATAACAGTACCCTCACAATAACCCAAAGGCAGAGGTAACTCTAGTACCTATCAACTATGAATGGATAAACAAAATGTGGTCCATCCACACAATGGAATATTATCTGACCTTAAAAAGAATGCAGCACTGCCCTGGCTGGTGTAGCTCAGTGGACTGAGTGCTGGCCTGTGAACCAAAAGGTCGCTGGTTTGATTCCCAGTCAGGGCACATGCCTGGGTTGCAGGCCAGGTCCCTGGTGTGGGGCACACAAGGGGCAACCACACATTGCTGTTTCTCTCCCTCTACTTCTCCCTCCCTTCCCCTCTCTCTAAAAATAAATAAATAAAATCTTAAAAAAAAGAATGCAGCACTGACACGTGGACACGTGCTGCAGCACGAATGAACTTGAAAACATTACACGAAGTTAAATAAGCCGACACAGAAGGCTGTGTATCATGAATCCATTTAAATGAAATGTGAGAATAGGCAAACCCACAGAGACAGAAAGCAGATTCCATGGTTGCCAGGAGCTGGGGGAGGGGGAAATGAATAGTCACTGTTTTGGGGTGATTAATATATTTTGGAACTATATAGGGGGATGGTCACACAATGCTGTGAATGCACCAAATGCCACTGAACCATACACTTTAAAATGGTTAAAATGGCGAATTTTATGTTAAATGAATTTCATCTCAAGTTCTAAAAGAACTAAGTGCTGGCAAGGATGCAGAGAAACCGGAACACATTGCTTAAGGAAATGTGAAAGGTACAGCCACTCCAGAAACCTGTTTGGTAGTTTCTTACAAACACACTTTTGCCCTATGCTCAGTCAAATCCTACTCCTGGGTATTTATCCAAGCGAATTAAAACTTATGTGTCAAAAACCCCCCAAAAAAACCCATGAATGTAAATGTTTACACCAGCTTTATCCATCACTGAAAAAGCTGGAAACAACCCAACTGTGCCTCAGTTGGTGAATGGCTCTGTAAACCATGACCTTCATAAGTGAGATGACACTCGGCCACAAGGAGAAAGAAGCTATTGATAAATGGGATCATTTGAATGAACCACAAAGGCGTTATGCTGAACTAAAGAAGCCAGACTCAAAAGTTCCTACTTGGAATACGAAAAGGGAACAAACTACGTTACACCCAGCGGTCTGAGAAAACATCTGTAAAGCTATGCTGCGTGAACAAAGTGAGTCCAAAAATGTTACACATGATCCATTTATAGAACGCTTTTGAAGTGACAAAATTAGAAACAAAGACCAAACTGGCAGTTGCCAGAGGATCAGGAGGGGTTTGGGAGGGAGGGGAGAGAGCACGGCTATAAAAAAAGAAGTGAGGGGCCCTGGCCAGATGGCTCAGGCAGTTGGAGCGTCATCCTGTGCACCAACTATGTTGGGTTCAATCCCTGGTCAGGGCACGTACCTAGGTTGCAGGTTCAATTTCCGGTGTGGGCATGATGTTTCTCTCTCACGTCAATGTTTATCTCCCTCTCTCTAACATCAGTGAACATATCCTAGGGTGAGGATTCAAAAAAAAAAGGAAGCGAGGGATCTTGTGGTGAGGGAGAAGTTCTGTGCCGTGGTGGTGTACATTGATGCCAGTGTCCTGGCTGTGATGTCTGACGACAGGTGCAGGGAGTCCAAAACACTCCCTGTGGGGAGAACTGGGTGAAGGGGACTTGGGACCCCTGTATTATTACTTACAACTACTGCATGCGAATCTACTGTTATCTCAAAATAAAAAGTTTAATTTACAAAAAGGTTTTATCCTGCATGATTCCACTTTCACGATATTCTGGAAAAGGCAAAAGTACAGGGTGTCAGAAAGAGATCAGTGGTTGCCATGGCTGGGTGGGGAGAGGGATTGACTACAAAGGACCTTAGGGAGATTTGGGGCGGTGGGGCATGTTCTGTAACTCGGTGTAGCTGTAGTTACACAACTGTATGGTGTTATAAAACTTGTATAACTTCTACACAAAAAGAGTACATTTTACTGTGTAAATTAAAATAAAATAAAAGTAGAAAAATTGATAGCATATCATTTGGAACCTGATTTTAAAAAATCTTTATCTGGCCCTGGCTGGCATAGCTCAGTGGATTGAGCGTGGGCTGCAAACCAAAGTGTCTCAGGTTCGATTCCCAGCCAGGGTACATGCCTGGGTTGCAGGCCATAACCCCCAGCAACCGCACATTGATATTTCTCTCTCTCTCTACCTCCCTCCCTTCCCTCTCTAAAAATAAATGCATAAAATCTTTAAAAAAAAATCTTTATGTGCCCTGAGCAGTGTGGCTCAGTTGGTTGGACGTCTTCCCACAAAGCGAAATGGCATGGGTTTGATTCCCTGTCAGGGCACATGCCTGGGTTGAGGGTCCAATCCTGGGTCAGGTTGTGCATGGGAGGCAACTGATCGATGTTTCTCTCTTGCGTTGATGTCTTTCTCCTTCTTTTTCTCCCTCCCTTCCCTTCTCTCTAAAAATAAGTAAATAAAATCTTTAAAAATCTTTATGTCATTATAGTCATCAAAAAAATAATATCAAATCCTGACTGGTGTGGCTCAGTCGATTGAGTGCAGGCCTGCAAACCAAAAGGTCACCAGTTCAATTCCCAGTCAGGGCACATGTCTGGGTTGCAGGCCAGGTCCTCAGCAGGGGGCACGAGAGAGGCAACTGATAAAAGTTTCTCTGGCACATCAACGGTTCTCTCCCTCTCACTTCCCTCCCCTCTCTCTAAAAATAATTTTTTTAACTCTTTAAAAAGTTAATATTGAATGACTTTAATATTCCCTATCACAAGTGTACCATAGTTGACTTTACATTCCCTTATCGTTGGACATTTAGATTGTCTCCACTTCTTACCACAAACACAGGTGTAATATTTAGTTGAAGTTCTGATTATTTCCTCAGGATAAATTTCCAAAAGTGGAACTACTTGATGAAAAGGAATGCACATTTTTATGAACTTTGATACAAGGCTCTGTTTGTTCTAGGAACTCATTCTGCCCCGACCGCCCAGGAGAGCACCCATGTGTTCCCAGTCAGCCCTCAGGTGGTCACTTCATACTCACTTACCAAAATCGTAGGGTATCCTGCTGCCTGGTCACAGCAGAGGCAGCTCCCTCTGCTCCTCTACCCCAGCCTCGAAAAATCCAGAGCCATTGTCCAAGACACAGATTTGACTCTGAGAGTCCCCAGACACGGGACATACTACCCCCAACCCCAAACCCGCCTCCTTTCCTGGGTCTGCCTCCGCATCCCTCCCTCCAACTCCCAACCTCCTCTGCATCTGTGCGCCTCACTCTCCTCTTGGCTGATGCTGCTCTCTCTGCCTGGAGCCTTCCCGGCAGGGGTCGGCACCCCTCCCTCTGTGAGACCAGCTTGGGCACGCCCCCTTCCACTTTACTGCTCCTAACGTGCCCATGGGTCTTCTGTCCCCATGACTGGACATGAACACCTTGGTTCAGGCTGATCCCCCTCTGCATCCTGCACCCTGTGTGGCCCCTCAGTGAGTGGACAGCCTTGGGGGAGACCAACGCTTTGCAGACCACCCCTCCTCTTGGACCGCTTTGTTGAAACACAGGACACGTGGGTACAGTCACAGTGTTCTTTTAACTGTCCATCAAAAAAGGTGGAGCATCCTGACTCTTCCCCTCCAGGTGCTCCTACCTTCTGGATCTGTCTACCTGTCCACGTATCTGTCTCCTTTGTCTGGACCCCTGCCACCCCCTCCCCAGGTCTCTAGTCCCGGATTCCCATCCCCTCCCACCCACCCAAGTCTGGTCTTCTTTGTTGCAAATATTCCCCCAATACTCTCCAAATGAAGTCAGTTCTCCAAGCTCTGTCTGTACCCCCTCCTCAGAGGGGCCTCCTCAGCCCTTCCCTGTATGTGCCTCAGTCCTGCAGGCCTCAGGCTGCATGTGGTTGACCTTGAGTTGGGGCCAAATCTAGGTCCCCTGGGATCACAGCCTCAGCGTAAGGCAGGACCCTAATGGAGGCTCCACCTCTCTTCATGCTTTCCCTGGCCCCGCCTTTGCCCAGCAGTCCCTGCAGGGCACCAAGGCGCCAGTCCTGAGCTGGTGCCCACAAGTGCTCACCCACCTCCCTGCTGGACTGCTGGTGAGCAGAGGATCAGCCCCTCCCACTCCAGCCCTTCATCACTTCCACCCCAATATGGCTGGGGCAGGTACCAGGCTGCAAGGCCAACTGGGGACCCTTCACTTGGCGGAGGAGGAAACTGAGGCCTGGAGGAGTGGACATGGCAGCCCAGTTTAGGGGCTGGAGATGGGGATCACTGAAGGCCATTGAGCTTGGGCACTGGAGTCTGCGCCAGCTGTGTGACCTTGGGCAGTCGCCTCACTTCTCTAAGCTTCTCTCCCCAACTTACAGTTGGGGGTGACAGTGGCACCTGACCTGTGGGGCCACTGAGAGGGAGGTTCTGCCCCTAAAGTGATTGCTGCCCACGGTGAATGTGCTGTTTCATCACTGATTACCATAAGTGGTCCCTGGTGCTCAGCACTTTGGGGACTTCCCATTGCACACAGACGGGGGGCGGGGGTCACACATCACGGAGGGACAGGCCATGGCCCTTGAAAACCCTTGCCCGGGGCCTTGCCCACGGAGGTGTCTGTATCCTGGATGTGTTCAGACTTCTGAGTATCCAGTGCCAGGAGGTAGCCCTGCTGAGGACCCTTGGCTCAGGCTCTGGTGACCCGAGGACACCAGGGAAGGAGCCCCCGCCACAATTCACCAGCAGAAGAGCGTATGCCCGCGTGCTTCAGAGAGTGATGCCCCCTCAGTGTGGGGAAGAGTGAGGACGTGGCTCTTCAGCTAAGAGAAGGAGGCCCGGGCACCCCGAGGCGACAGCATCTACCACCCATGGGGACGTCCTGCTCCTGCCTCTGTTTCTGCCCCACCCGGAGGACCAGGGTGAGGCACTAGTGTTGGGTGCAAAATTGAAGGGGTGCCAAAGACTCAGTAACTGAGGTGAGTGATGTTTTAACACAATATTAAGGAGTAAGAATCAGTGCAAACAGACCCACACTGGACAAAATGCCAACTCCTTAAATAAAGCCAGAGTCTGCCCAGGGCCCTGCCCTCTGGCGTACTCTCCCTTCTCGTCCCTTTGCCCTCACTGCCACTCCCTGTGCCCCACTCCCAGTTATGGCTGCAGGGGCCCTCCCATTGCCAATATGACTCCCTCAGTCCCTTACCTTTCCCAAGGGTTCCAAGGGCTGCTGCTTCTTGTCGGGGTTCCGGGGCCTGGAGCCCCGCTCCGAGGTGTTGTTGTGGAGAGCAGCAAGCCATGGGAGGCCACGGCCAGGCCCAGCAGCAGCAGCGGCGGCCAGCACTGCCTGAGGCCGGCACTCGGCCCCCTGCGGGCCTCCAGGCCCACCTGTCCTGTCCTGGGCCTCATCTGCCCTCAGAGTCAAAGGCACCTCTGGCTGACCTGCTGGCGTAAGCTTACAGGGTGAGGTTAGGTCAGCAGGTACCCCTGGTCCCTCTCACTAGCATTGACTGTCCCAGTGTGCCCAAGCTATGGCCCTGCCATCTGCCTGGGCCTTCTCTGGTCCCTGCCCCCAGTGCCCCGCCCTCTCCAGGGCCATGGTCCTTGCTCCTGGGGGGTCTCTCCCAGTGGGGCATCTGCCAACTGCCGTACTGTGGTCTGGATCCAGGGTTCAACTGCTCCCCGCCACATCTGCCAGCCTGTCCCTGCCCTTGGGGCCCTGTGTGGGGTGCACCTGCTCCCACCAAGCGTCCAGTGGGCCAGGAGTCACCTGAGTTCAGCGATGTGGGGCTGGGGCCTCTCTTCTGGCCAGACCTGGGGCCATAGTGGTGACAAGGGAGGAAACAGGTGTTGGTTTACCAAAAAGCCAATGTTCAAGTCATGGAATTGTGATAAAATTATAAAAACAGTGTTCAATGTGCCGTGTCCAGCCCCTCATGGGTCTCCTTTCTCTCTCTCTCTCTCTCTCTCTCTCACACACACACACACACCCCTCACACCCTCATCAATTTTATCTAGTGGTCACCATCACAAGCCCAGTGTCTGGTGCACAGCAGTGGCTTCCTCAAGGCCCCTGTTACCTCAGGGCCCCTGTGCTGTGGTGCAGGGTGGGCAGAGCCAGTGAGGAGGGACTGAGAGATCCCATCAGATCCCACAAAGCTCATGGTCAAACCCACCCTTGCACTTCACAGTTGGATGACCTGGAGCTAATACTTGACACTACCCTTTGCTTGTATATCCTCCATGTCCCAGTCCACGCAGGCCCAGTGTGTCCTGGGCAGTGCCATCCCAATGGCTTGTCCATCTCTGTGAGGCTCTTCCCAGGGTCCCCCAGAGTGAATTTCACGGATGCCACATGCCCTAGTAGAGTTGGGCCGTCCCAGACATCGTGTTGGTGTCTGTCTAACCATGGGCATGGGATGCGATATCGGTGGTGGGTGGCGAGGGCCTGGCTGTGCACTGACGCTGCCAGGAGTGACACCTCTGGTCACCTCTGACTTTCCAGGCCTCCTTCCCTCCTCCCGATGCGGGGCTGCGAGCACTCCTGCCTGCGCTGCTCACTCCCGGAGCCCTGGCGCGGTTGAAGTTGGGAGATAAAGGAGGTGAAAGTGCTTTTTTTTTTTAGTTTTTTAGGTTTTTGAGTTTTCTTTAGTTAAAAAAAGTATGGTATATTATACATAACATAAAAGTTACCATCTTCATTATTTTTAAGTGTCAGCTCAGCAATGTTAAGTACATGGCGTTGCTGTGCGACCATTGCCACCGTCCGTCTCCAGAACGCCGTCCTCTTGCACAACTGGAACTCTGCCCCGTTAAACAGCAGTGCCCTCCCGCTCCTTGCCGCCTCAGCCCCATGCCCCACAACCTGGGGTCTACTTTCTCCACAAATTTGACTGCTCCGGGAACCTCACATGGAAGAATCACATGATATTTGTCCTTTGAAAATACTTTTTAAACTGGGAAGTACCCCACACAGAACACATATGGAAGACAAGTGTTGTTATCACATTTATGACTGCTACCACCAGCAGCAGCAGCTGGCCCATCTGGTGTGGCTTGGAAAAAAGCAGTGGCCATTAAGAAATAAATGAATCCCTGATGATATTTGAACTTCTGCTTTTCGAACGTTGAGTTGCAACTCACAGAGGGCTGTGAAATCCATTCAGTCGGTTGCAACCAGCGTTTGGCAACAGTCAAGTGGCATAGGGAGACTGGAGAATGGGGAGGGATGGCGGTGGTTCACGACGTCTGCTTCACTTATCTGAATATGCAGACATGCTCAGGACAATGATGGGAAATGTGTTTCTTACTGGGAGTGTGGATCGGAACAACTTTTGGAACATACCATGGGACTCAGTGGTCCAGGTGTGCATGAGAGACAAAGCTCATGGTCAAACCCACCCTTGCACTTCACAGTTGGATGACCTGGAGCTAATACTCGACACTACCCTTTGCTTGTATATCCTCCATGTCCCAGTCCACGCAGGCCCAGTGTGTCCTGGGCAGTGCCATCCCAATGGCTTGTCCATCTCTGTGAGGCTCTTCCCAGGGTCCCCCAGAGTGAATTTCATGGATGCCACATGCCCTAGTAGAGTTGGGCCGTCCCAGACATCGTGTTGGTGTCTGTCTAACCATGGGCATGGGTTGCGATAACAGACTAGCTTCTGAATATCGCAGGGTATGGAGGAGCCCCTGGGAGGCCCCTAATCCAGTCCAGCTTCTCCTTCTTGAGGTGTTTAGCCCACTCCTGCCTCTGACCTGAGCTCCTCAAAACTGGGGGCCTGGGGCAGGGTCCATCACAGGGGTCCAAGCTGAAGCTGCTCCATCCCAGAACCCCTGTGTGACATTCACCCAATGCCCAGGGCCTAGAAGTGGTGGTTCCTCTGGGGCAGCCCCAGGTTCTGGAGAGGAGAAGGTGCTGTCTCTAATCTCAGTGACCCCAGCTGCTCCCACCACCTTGGCCCCTACACCTGCCTCAGCTTCTGGGCAACGGCTGCTGTAGACCACATCCTCCTGTGGTGGCCGCAGTCAGAAATCAACTCTGGCTGGACCCTGGGGACCCTGGAGAGATGGGCTGGGCCTTCCCAGGAGATGCAGCTGCAGCTCTGGCCCGCCCAGGCCTGCTTCCTCTAGCACCCGCACTGAGACGTGCTGAGTGCTGGATTCGGTCCAGGCCAGAAAGGTCTGGGTCTAGCTGTCCCTGGCTCTTCCATGCCTTGCCCTGGCTCTTCTCTCCTGGAGCAGAAGGGTGTATCCCTGTGCGGTCACTTCTGCCCTACTCTGTGTGGAAAGGCACCCTCGCCTCTGCCTCCTGCCGGTCAGTCCCCTGCCCACTCTCCGTCCCACAGGCTTCAGAGTCTCTGCCCCCAACCACCGTGGACTTTCTCTCCCAGGCCATCTCCACAGCAGGCCTGTGAACCACCTCCACGAGGTTCCAGGTGCAAATTTTCTAGAAAATTCCAGGATCTTGGGGACCTGCTGTATGGCTCCCAAGCCCTCTCTGGGGTAGTTTCTGCAATTTTGGAAGATTCGTAACATTGTACAAAGCCTGGAGGTTTCATTTGACATGAGGGCAGTGGTGGAGCTGCTGTTGTTTACCCAAGGCCAGTGTGACGGTCACCTGTATGTGTCAACTTGGCTGGCCACAGTGCCCATATGTTTGATCGAACATTGTTCTGGATGCTTCTGTGAGGGTGTTTGTGGATGATATTAACATTTCCATTGGTGGATTAACGTTAAGTCAACGCTTTGAGTAAAGCAGATTGGTCTTCCTACCGTGGGCATGCCTTATCCAATCAGTGGAGAGCCTGAACAGAGTGAAGACTGACCTCTCCCACGCTGGAAGGAATTCAGCAAGCACACGAGCTCGGACTGCCACTCCCGAGTCTCCACCCTGCAGTTATTGGACCTGCACCTCCACAATCACGCGAGCCGGTTCCTTAGCGTACATTTCTCTCTCCCTATGTACCCATTCATGCTCACATGTAGTGTTGGTTCAGTTTCTCCGGAGAGCCCCGACTCACCCAGCCAGTTACGCCATCTTTATACTTCGAATGCTCCATGGAGTGGCCATCGTGATCCTCATTTCACATAGGGGGATACTGAAGTTTAGGAGCTTATTTAGGTGTAGTGACTTGCCCATGTTCACAGAGCTGGGAAGGCATAGAAGCCTCTAGATCCAAGGATGTGGAGTATTTTACGGGCTGCGGAGATCTTTATGAATGTAACAGAAGCCACAGGATTTCTCCCCATAGAATTGCTCATTGTCCCACCACACACAGTGTTGCCCCTGATTCATGGGCCCCACAGTTGAGAATACTTGCCTTAGACTTGGAACTCAGAGAGTGGAGGGGGCTTCCCCCGATCGCTGTTGTGTCCTTGATGACTGTCACTGAGCCCGACACATGGAGGCTGCCCAGTAGGGCTTTGGAGAGGGCGTGGGAACAGAGACCCAGAATTACATCCCAGGCCTGTCTGCCTCCTAGTTTCTTCCTTCCCTCTATGTCAGCGGTCCCAGCATAAAAAGCTTATAGGCTTCAGGGCTCCCTGGGCTGAAAGTGGCCATGCCCATTATTAGGGGTCTCCAGCCCAGGTCCCTGAGTCTCCTGTTCTAAGGTAAAAGGAACCCCAGGGTGTCAGCTCACCATGACATCACCTACCCCTGATATGGGTCTTAGGTCCCCCACCTAAGTAACAATAGGACTCCCCTTCCTATGGCTGTCTTCCCTGCTAATGGGAGGATGCTTCAAGGCCCAGTACCCAGGCATGGTCAGAGAGGTGTGTCTTCTGCCTCGTCTTCATCGGGCCTACAGAAACAGGGCCGGGGCCAGACATTTTGCACCATTGATTCAGTGCATGTCTCTGTCTCCATCTGGCTGTCTTAGTCTGTTCCCAGCTGTTCTCCAGCTGGTGCTGGGCCCAGGCCCACCTGGTCTGCTGCGAGGGCCACATGGCTGCCATGGAGAGGAAACACAGGAGCAAATGGGGCAAGTGCATGTTACCTGGCGAGACTGAAAGAGAGAGAGAGAGTGTGTGGTCTTAGTTAAGCTTAAGTTATATAATCTTGGGCTTGGGAAGGACCAGGATCACTTCCTTCCTTCCTTTCTTTTTAAAAAAGATTTTATTTATTCATTTTAGACAGAGGGGAAGGGAGGGAGGAAGAGAGGGAGAGAAACATTAATGTGTGGTTCCTCTTGTGCACCCCCTACTGGAGACCTAACCTGGCCTGCAACCCAGGCATGTGCTCTGACTGGGAATCGAACCGGTGACCCTTTGGTTTGCAGGCCAGTGCTCAATCCACTGAGCTACACCAGCTGTGCTCTTTCTTTCTTTCTTTCTTTCTTTCTTTCTTTCTTTCTTTCTTTCTTTCTTTCTTTCTTTCTTTCTTTCTTTCTTTCTTTCTTTCTTTTTTATAATTGTATTTTTTGCATTACCACTTAACCCCTGTACACTCCCCTCCCCACCAGGCACCCTTTTAAGCCAACCAATCAACTTCCCAAGCTTTCACTGGCTGGTGCTGAATCCTCCCCTAACCAATGCATTTTCTAGCTCTTCTGGGGTTCAGTGACGCTTGTCCAATGTGATCCTTTTCCCACGCTAGGTAGACAGGTCTTCATGGTCCCCATCGTAGTTCTTACTGTGTTTGTGCTTATAGTAGAAGCACCTCCCCCTGCACCATTATGGCTTCTACTGGGAATGTGCCCAGCAGAGGAATTTCCCTTTTCTTGTCCTATCCCTCCCCTCAGTAATCTGCAGGGAAGGAACTGGTGGTTCCCTGGGGAGTGTGTGAAACTATAGCTTCCTAGTGAAGCAGGCCCAATATTAAATTCAGCTTCCCAGCTTATTAGGCTTGATGTCTGATTCTTTTGCTCCCATCCTTTGTTAATACCTGGCTACCTATGCTAACAATGGTTTGCCTGGCACCTCTCCGTTTATAGTGCAGCCCACCACCCAGAGGCTCAGGGTGCTGAGCTGTGGGCCAGGGTTGCAGGAACCCACCTGTTCCCTCTTCACCCAACAAGCTAATTGGTGAGGCCACACCCCTCCTGCCTCCAGGTCTTTCCATGGGTCCAGAGGGTTTGTATCCCTGGGACCACCAGGCAGGAGGACTTGAGGGTGACCTTGATCACCTCACCAAGCATGGCTTGGTTGAAACCTGGAGGCAGGAACTAAGGTGCTTCTGTGGAGCAAAAGATGAAAAACTGGCCCAAGTGCCATATCCGGTCCAGCCCCACCTGTTTCTATGAATGAAGTTGAATAGGAATGGCCATGCGCATTTGTTTACATATTGTCTGTGGCTGCTTTCATGCTATAGGGACAGAATTCAGTAGCTGAGACAATGATTACATGGCCCGGAAAGCCAAAATTATGTCTTCTCTGGCCCTTTACAGAAAATTTCATTGCCAGGTCCACTCTTCTCCTGCGTGGAAGAGTAAACACATTTCTCTCACCTAGACCAGTGGTTCTCAATTGGGGTGATTTTGCCACCCTGGGGACATCTGGCAACACCTGGAGACATTTTCATTGTCGTAACTAGGGGTGGAAAGTTACAGGTAGTGGCATTTAGTGGGTAGAGGCCAGGGATGCTGCTCGACATCCTACAGCACACAGGACAGCCCCACCCCTGCTCCAAAAGACCCATCTGGCTCCAAATGTCAAAAGTACTGAGGCGGAGCATCTGCTTTAGACCAATTATTCAGCTTCCACTCTCTGCCCCAGAGCCCCAGTGAAGGCATTTCTAAGCTGTTTACCCTGTAACTCCTGCAAATAACCAGGTGACACCAGAGGGTCCTGTTCTTGGCCAGAGCATCTCCCCAAGGTGCTTATGTCAGCCCCCTACCCCCGATAATCCACAAGAGTGAGGCTCCAGCCAAGCAGACGAGGATTGATCAGTCTATTAGGACCTCAACCTTAGGCTGGTTCTTGGGTGTGTCCTACCCATTTTGACCTCACACAGAACAGCGAGGGCCCTCGTTAGTATAATTCAGCACACCAGTCAGCCAAGCAACTTCCCGGTACACAAGCAGCTTTAATCCCCCATTCGCCCTCCCACAGGGCCTTGCTGAACAAGAGCGACTCCCTCCCTCTGCACAGCCCACACAACCCACCCTCCCCCTCGCCCTCTCTGTGGGGATGCACACCCTTTCTGTCTTCAGTGCACGGTGTCCTGGGGTGCCTGGGACACTGAAGCAGGAGGCTCCTTTTCTTCCTCGCTGTCCACCTCCTTTTCCCTCTCTATGTTCTGGGTCCCCACAGCACAGAAATATATAGCCTCATCCTCAGGCTGCAGCCCAGAGATGCTCAAATACCCCGTGTTCTCAGTCCCATCCTTGGACCCAGAGAAGCGTGGGGGAACTTTGGGGCCCCGTTTCTTCTCTGAATCAGAGAAATATCTCAGCAAGAATCTTGGAGGGTGGCCGGGCCTCTGCTGGTACCAGTAGATGCTGTATAAGTTGACATCATAGTCGCTGCTGAAGGTGCAGGCCAGACGGATTGTGGTTCCAAGGGATGAGGTCACAGAAGGTGACTGCTTCAGCACTGGCTGAGGGCCACCACCTGGGGACACAGAGAACATGGGCAGCTGGGGCAGGGCAGGACAAAGGGAGAGGCCAGGGGCTGCAAGCTCTGGGGTGTTCTCACCTGTGCAGAGAGCGAGGAGCGCCAGCAGGACAGGAGCCCAGGACATGGTGTGGACGCTCGGAGCTCTGCCTCCTGAATTGTGCAGCCACAGCTCCTGGGAGTCTCTGGGGTCTGGACAGCATCCTCCTCTTCCTCCCTCCCAGGGGTGGAGCCATTGTACGCCCAGTTCCAGCCACCACCATCCCAAACTTCCTTGGGTTCCCAGCATCGGTTAGGGGCTCTTGCCTCGGCCCCATAGAAGCGTTTAGGGAGGAAACACCTGCTGGAAGCTCACAACCCAGCGCCCAGGAGGCCAGCCTGTGAGTGTGGGTCCCTGAGGGAGAGTGACCTCAATGTCCCCTTGAGGAAACCGAGTCCCACATAAATAAGATTCTTGTCCAAACGTACATGCCTGGTGAACCGGGAAGAGAGGACACATCCTGAGAGTGGGGAAACACCTGCTCGCACAGCAGGACATGGGGGGTCCTGGAGGTGAGTGGGACACTCTGTGCCCTTCCACAAGGCTAGCACTCCCGACCTCCACACCTAGAGCAGCCCCACCTCTCCCCGGTATCCTGCATGGGCCCTGCCCCCGCTCCCTTGACCACTCCTTTTCTTGAGGGTCTTCCCCGGGGGGACCTGTCGTGGCAGAGATCTGGGGCCATTTTTGGCCAGAACCTGTGCCTGCAGAAGTTCTGTTTGTCCTACCCCAGCCCCACCCCACCTGGGTCTGAGCCCATCAGTAAGCAATTCCAGGCGGCCCAGGGCCTGCTCCCTGCTCAGTGCTGCCCACGCTCAGATGGAGACTCCTACGTCTGTCAGGGTTCTGCAGAGAAGTAGGACCAATAAGAGATAGATACATAATACATATATAATACATTATTACACATCATATACAATCATATAATGTATAGCTTTATTATATTATATATACAAACAATTATAATTATATTATATTATATAAATATAATGCATAATACATATAGTGATGTGTAATTTTACAATTATATTACTATATGACATATAGTACGCATTACTATATATCATTAGTATGGTATGCATTACTGTATATTGTATATATTACTATATATCATTCCCCTGACTGGCCATCTGCGGTCTGCAGACCCAGGAAGCTGGTGGTGTACTTCAGTCTGAGCCTGAAGGCCGGAGAACCAAGGAGCCTGTGTTTAAATCCCAGTCCAAGGGCGGGAGATGGGTTGAATGTCCCAGCTCAGCAGGCAGACTGAGGGCAAAAAGAGGAGGATTCCTCCTTCCCTCCCTTTTCTGCTCTTTCCAGGCCTTGCTGGATTCTGATAAAGCCCCCATGTGGGGGAGGGCCATCTGCTTTACCGAGTCCACAGGTTCAAATGCCAATCCCATCCAGACACAGCCTCACAGACATGCCTGGAGGAAATGTTTAATCTGAGCACCCTCGGGCTCAGTTAATGCAATTAATCATCATGCTCCATTATCACAGCCTTCTTCATCACAGTCTAGAACTTCCTTACTAAAGCACAGCCACACAAGGAAGCCCAGGGAGTCAAGTGGGCCCTCGGCTTTCAGGAGGCTCCAAGACAAGGCCTCGCTGCAGGTGGAGGTAAAAAAAAAGTGGTCACTTTAGGATGGGTCATCTGAGCTGCTGTGTCTATTCATGAGGCATAAACGGAACCAGCCACTGAGATGAGACCATGCCTTTAATCGTAGATGAGATCCACACCTTCAGTAACTTCCAGGACAGAGGGTGGGGAAACACTCGGCTGAGACTCAGTCTCCACATGGGGCTGGCAGAATGGCAACTGCCTTCCTCTGGTGTCTTTGCTGAAGGTCCTTTGGGTCACCAACAGGAGGGACAAAATAAGCTCCCAGCTCTAGTAAAAGAAATTCTCTTCCAGGGCAGAGAATGGAGAAGAAGGGAGTGCCCACCAGCCACGTGCCCACCTACACCTCACAGTCAGAGATAAGATATCTTCCATCTGAGAACAAGACTCCCAGGTGATGCTGGGACCATTGCCACTGCAGGTTGGACCTTGTCCCAGGCTCCTAGGTGGTGGCTGACACTTCACCTGAGCTGCAGAAGTGACCAGTTTGAAGCCATCCTCAGTATCACAGATGGGGTGCTGTGTAGGAAGTGAGAGTGTTGTATAACAAATATTCTGGCTGGTCTTCATCCTGGTACCTCCAAAACCTTGGGATTTTCAGAGTGATGGGAGTGTCTTTATTATTCATTTCAATAGAGGTAGACAAAGCATTTAGTATCATTTAACACCTAATGTATGTTGTAAGAGATGTCACTTCTCCCCAAAGTCACCTACAACAGATTCATTGCAATGCCTATTTTCATCCCAGCTGGCTTCTTTGCAGAAATTAACAAGCTGATCCTAAAATTCGTATGCAAATCTGAGGAACTCAGAATAGCCCAAACAGCTTTGAAAAAATAAAAAAATAAAAGAACAAAGCTGGAGCCCTGGCTGGTGTAGCTCACTGGATTGAGCATGTGCCTGTGAAGCAAAGGGTCACCGGTTCAATTCCGTCAGGGCACATGCCTAGGTTGTGGGCTGGGTCCCCAGTGGGGGACACATGAGAGGCAACCACACACTGATGTTTCTCTTCCTCTCCTTTCCTTCTCCCTCCCTTCCCTTCTCTCTAAAAATAAGTAAATAAAATCCTTACCAAAAAAAAGTGAAGATCTTTAAAAAAAAAGAACAAAGCTGAAGACTCACTTCCAGCTTCAAAGTTTACTGCAAAGCTAGGGTAATCAGACCTGATTGATGTGTTAGTGTGGCTCAGTTAGTTGGGCTTTTGTCTTTTGTTCTGAAAAGCAAAAAGTAGCCGGTTCGATTCCTGGTAGGGGTTAGGTTCCTGGTTGGGGTACATACAAGAGGCAACCAATCAATATTTCTCTCCTCTCTTTCTTCCCTCCTTTCCTCTCTCTCTAAAAGTAAGTAAAATATTTTTTAAAAAAGAAGTTAGAGTAACCAGCCCTGGCTGAGTGGCTCAGTCGGTTGGAATATCATCCCCATAACCCAAAAAGTTGGGGGTTCGATCCCTAGTCAGGGTGTGTATGGAAGACATCAATATTTCTCTCTCTAGCTCTCCTCTCTCTCCCTTCCTCTCTCTCTAAAATCAATAAAACATATCCTTGGGAGAAGATTAAAATAAAAGAAGAAAGTTAGAGTAAGCCAGACAATATGTCATAAGGATAGACATTTAGATAAATGAATAAGATCAAATTAAAACTTCAGAAACAAATCCTCCCATTCATGATCAGTTGATTTTCAACCAAGTTACCAAGACAATTCAATGGGGGAAAGAATACCATTAAAGTGCATTTCTGGAATGAACCCATCCTGATCGTGACATGTTGTCCTTTTAACACTCTGTTGGATTTGGTTTGCCAAAATTTAGTTTTGGACTTCGTATATATGTTCATTAGGTGATATAGCTAATCAGTACAGCTGCATTAATTGCCCACCATGATGGAAGGAGGGGATAAGTAGGGGGATTGGGTAATGGTCCGGAGACTGGAAGGTGGTGGCGTTCCCATACATGTGATCTGACAAGACTGGGGGGTGCAGGAGGTGTATTTTGTACAAGTGCAAAGACGGAAATATAAATGTTTAGCTATGAGGAAAAGCCTGAACCTGATAAGTATTTGGAAATTCTCAGCACACCTGAGGTCTCATAAGCTGTTTCTGCCTTCCTGGGCTCTTTGGCTGTATTTGCTCTGATTTTTTTTTTCCTGCTAATTTCTTCTCCCTCATTTCTCAGCACAGCCACAACCGGGGACACAGGATGAGCGGATCACCTCAGCGCTTACTTCTTCGTACCTCCCAAGCCTGTGTCTTGGGTCTTGCAGGCCCCCAGAGACTCCAACCCTTCATTTCTCAAATCCTGGGAGGATGGGGTCCTCTCTGCACACTAACACCCCCACAACATGGTCTGAGGAGGGGAAGCCCCCTATCCCACGTCTGCCACCCCCACCCTGGAAGACACAGCTTTGGTCACTGGGAGCTTTGAGCACTCAGGGAGCCGGGAGTTGGTGGTTCAGCCGTCAAGCCCTCCGCATCTCTCAGGGACATGCGCACAGCGCCCCCTGCTGGTTCTGAGGAGATGTTACAGAAGCCGCCCAAGGACTCCAGCCTTACCCAGCCTGAATCAGCACACATGGACACACACACCGCACAGGGCAAACTCTTCTATCCAGAGTTTGAGAGGCAGTACTTACCGGATGGGCAACAACAGAGCCTTCCGGGGTGCTGGAACGGTTCCTTGTCTTGATCTGAATGATGGTAGATAACATGGGTGTTTGCACCCATGGAATCGTCAAGTACGCGTTTGTGATCATTGCGTTTTACTAAGTTTTACATCAGCTTCCCCCTCCCCTCCGCGGGATTGTGCATGAGAAATGAAGAAAATACTTACATTTTTGGTTCAGTGTTTTAACCATGTTGGGGAGCCTTAGCTTAGAATCACTCTTGTATATGATTTGAATGGAGGGGAAGCTGCTAAAAAAAAACTAGGAAAAGAATGGTACATTTTTGGTTGTTCAGAAGTAAAGTCTGGGTTCCGTTAGGGAGCCTGCTGCCTAAGGAAATATCTTTCCTAATTTCTGGAGAGTACAGGCGAAATGAAAACATAATGAGGAAAGTAATGGACAGCAGCAGAAGCCAGAAGAACGTGAGGGAGGAGCTGAAGCTTGTTTTACGCACCATTCATTGAAAATACTTTTCTTTACCCTACTGAATTGACTTGGTGCCTCTGTCAAAAATCAATTGACATTATACAGGCTCTGGCACAAATAACACCCCTTTTAATGACAAAATCTTTTATAACAGAATCATAAGCATGTAATTCTGTAATATAAGAATATCACACTCAAGCATATCATATGACATTTTAGGCGAAATGTTCAAATTAAAACTATAAATTATTACACCCATATTATTACTCTACCAACCACACTCAAGCAGGTCTCACTTCTGTTGGACCCTGTATATGCCTGTCCTTGACTGAAAGTTCTGTTATGTTTTTTTGACCTCTGTCTCCTTATGCCAGCACCACACTGTT